CTCTCAAGGTTTACGTGGCCGCCATCTCCGCTTATCATAGCGCGGTAGCTGGCAGCACCGTGGGAAAGCATAACCTGGTCATCCAGTTCCTTAGGGGTGCTAGGCGAATTAATCCATCTCGCCCCCCTCTCATGCCCTCTTGGGATCTCGCCCTCGTTCTCACGAGTCTGCGATCCGATCCCTTTGAGCCACTCGAATCAGTATCTCTAAGATTTCTGTCCCTGAAGACAGCTCTGCTGGTTGCGTTGGCCTCCATCAAGAGGGTCGGGGACCTGGAGGCATTTTCGGTCAGTGACTCGTGCCTGGAATTTGGGCCGGATTACTCTCATGTCATCCTGATACCCCGCCCCGGTTATGTGCCCAAGGTTCCTACCACCCCCTTTAGAGATCAGGTAGTGAACCTGCAAGCGCTGCCCCCGGAGGAGGCAGACCCAGCCCTTTCTTTACTTTGTCCAGTTCGCGCTCTGCGCATTTATGTGGACCGTACTCAGAATTTTAGATCGTCTGAGCAGCTCTTTGTCTGTTATGGCGGTCGGCAGGAGGGAAGTGCCGTATCGAAACAAAGATTATCCCACTGGATTGTGGATGCCATTTCACTCGCTTATTCGAGTCGAGGTCAGTCGTGTCCCCCGGGAGTACGTGCACACTCCACTCGGAGCGTTGCATCCTCTTGGGCGCGTGCACGCGGCGCCTCTCTAACAGACATCTGTAGAGCTGCGGGCTGGGCGACACCCAACACATTTGCAAGGTTTTACAATCTGCGAGTGGAGCCGGTTTCCTCAAGGGTATTAGGTAACCCTTTGGTGATTGAGGAGACAACTCGGTAGGGTGTTGAAACACGCTTGCTGCGCCATTCTCCCTAACACGGAGGTACGTGCGCCTTTTTATCTGTCAGTAAAGTTCCCCGTCAGGTGAGCCCTGCAGATTCCTCCGTGGCCCCCAGCACTGACTCAGCGGAGGAGTCACTTGCTGGCCCACTACGTTGTAGGTCTGCCCGCTGGTCAGCCCGCGTTTTGGGTATAGGTGCCTGCTTTGCGTGATCCCCACTAGGCGATCCCATATGCTCATTCCGCCACGGTTAAGTCCCCCCCCTGGGCGGACCCGTGTCTTCCCTCTCCGCTAACCATGCTTTTGCTATGAGTACTCCCCCTTTTTAGGGCTAGTCCATATGTAAATTCTGCCATCTATCCTCCCCTTGGGTAACGGATGGCCTCCGCATCGTCCTCCCTATCGGGATTGCACGCTTCCCAACGTACTGTCGTATTTCCTAGAATTATCTAGATGCTCACGACTTCCCAAAAAATATATCTAAATCCGTAAAACTTCTGTTGAAGTAGGATAAATTAGGGCCAGGGACACGTTGGAGGACCGCGCCCCCCGTGATGTGGGTGCGTCACGCTTGCTTGACTATCTCCTCATCGGGGGTGTTGGTAAGGTGCAGTCATTATGGCGCTTTCCATACTTCTCCCATTTCGTGGATTCAATCAATCCACTCTATGGCACTGAAGTTCCCCAACCGAAGGGGAACGTTCGAGGTTACAGAAGTAACCCTTCGTTTCCCGAGGAGGGGAACGGAAGTGCCATACTCCGTCGCCATGATGACTGTCCCTTAGCTGTTTGAAAGTCTCTTCAGCTTAAAAGGATGGCGTCTGCTGGCTTCAGGTGTGCTTATATGCTGAGATAGTTGCAGATGCCGCACACCTGCGCAAGCTTATGCTGCCAATTAATTTCATTTATTGGCCCGTTCAATACTCTCCAGACAAGCGGCTTCTGATCCGAATCCTCCCATTTCGTGGATTCAATCAATCCACTCTATGGCACTTCCGTTCCCCTCCTCGGGGAACGAAGGGTTACTTCTGTAACCTCGAACGTTCTCTGTTCATAGAGGAGTGTGGCAGAGTAATAGCTATATGTTACAGATTATTAAGATTATGTTATGTTTTTCTAGCAGCTAAAATTATGAATGTTATTCCAGAAATCAAGCATGCAGTGAAGCAATGTTAATCCAACATATTAACATTATTAACTTGTTTCTGTAGCTCAAACAGTAGAGTGACAGCAGAATGTATTCCTGGTAAGATTTTTGGATAAAAGTGTCAAAGTGTCAAATATGTAAATGTCTTTGAGCTATCTGGAATTGGTTCAACATCATGTTTGCATTATGAGTTTCTTTAAACACACAAGCATATATCTAGAAAAAAGTTGGTGATAGTCATATACTGTACAATTAGCTGCTATACAATTCTACTGTGTATTATTCTTATATATTATTGTTATATAATTCTACTGTATATTATTATTATACTATTATACTGTATATTAGTATTATACTATTTTAGTATAATACTAATATGTAGTAGAATACTATAATAATAATATGCAGTAGAATAATATAATACAGTATTCTACTAAATATTTTTATACTATTCAACTGTATATTATTCAATTAAAGGATTAGTTTAACCAATGGAAGGTAGTATTTACTCACCCTTAATAGTCCAAGACATTTACTCATCTTCAGGACACAAATTAAGATATTTTAGATGAATTCTCTATTCTCTATAGACAACAATGATCCTATAATGTTCAAAGTCTAAAAAAGAAACCAAACAAATTGGTGTAAATATTCCATGTGACTTCAGTGGTTCAACTGTTATGATATGAAGCTCCAAGAACACTTTTGTGCTTGCAGCCATAATCCAAAAAAATAAAATAAAATAAAATAATAATAATAATAAAAAAAAAAAACAATAAAAACTTTCTTTGCTTAAATTTTCCCTGGAAGAGATTCTTAACACACCTACGGTATGTGTCTAGTTTTGTATTATTTTGTAACAACACAATTTGTATTATTTTAAACTCAACTCATGTGGTATTCTACTTAACACAGACCGTATCAATGTATCAAGGTATTTGTGCTGCCCATCACATTACAAACCACAGGAGAGGGCAAATTATTCAGCAGGATAGCACTACTTCAGCCTCCACGTCAAAGTTCCTAAAGGAACAGAAGGTCAAGGTTCTCCAGGATTGGCCAACCCGGTCACCAGACATGAACCTTATTCTATAATGATGACTTTTTATTCTATACTGTACAATAATTCTGTTAAGTGACAAAACTTTTGTCTAAGTCAGACCTTACTGTCCTAATTAAATATTTAAAAAATTAAGGCATGATCATATTTTTTTGGGTAAAGTATCATAATCTAGAGGCCTTTGCCTTTCATTTAAGCCAGTTCTGATGCAAAAAGATCGTCTAGAAGTCAAGTTATTTTTTGTTTTTCCTAAAAAAAGGATAGGATCAATACTTTTTTTCAGGTAATGTACTGAATATTAAAACATGACAAACTTTTACAGCACATTTCTTCAGAATAATTATCACTAATAGATTTGTTTTAAACAATTATGCATCTTGGTTTACAAAAAGAGAAGAAATCTCATATTTATACCCAGAGGGAAAAGCCACAAAAAACACAAGCCCTTACCAAAATCACTGCAATTCCCATCAACTCAATAAATACATAACAAATAGATTGTTACTTAGTCCTGTTGAAAGCTGCAATTTGCAAAATAAGTCGTAGTCGGACATGGTTGCTGTCAATGAACGCTTACTAAATGCACAATGACTATCTTAATAATTCACAATACCACTCCAAATACCAAGCTAAGCATCTACATTCTCCATCGATTAAAAAAAAAACAGATGCCAACAGTTTGAACAGAGCCAACAGAGGGATGTAAGCAGCAAAAAGAACACACTTTCTTTTTAAACACAATCAGTTGAATATCCCCCACTGGCTCATATATATCAGCCGATAACCACTGATAATGCCCATTCAATTCAGTGATTGGCCGCATATACACAAGATGTGTTAAATTAGCCATAACACAGAAGTTAACTTATTTTCAAGAATGTAGGCAAAAAGGGTCATATTTACAGTGATTTTGATGCACAATAAAGTTTTGAAGCTTCATATAATCGTTACAGTACCACAAAAGTCACACAGAATTTTTCGACCAATTTTTGGGTTCCTTTATGTGTAATTCCTGTCTGTCGAGGATCTAAAATATCTTAATTTGAGTTCCAAAGATGAAGGAAGGTCTCAGGGGACAGGAACAATATGGGAGTGAGTATTTAAAATGTCTAACTAAGTAGTAGAAGACTGATAGGTTAGTAGATTAAAGGCCCATTATACTAAAAGCAATATGGAGAACACATAATTGTGTGACCTAATTTAAAATAAAAAATCAGGCCAAAAAGAAGTTCAAGGCCTTTTATAGTCAAAAGAATGTCTAAAGGGGATCATCAAAGTGTTGCTATTAGTAATATAGTCATCTGGGGTCTTTCAAAGGCCTTCATGTGCAGCAGTAATGCCCCCTACCTTTCAAAGTGTTCTTCATAGACAGAATCTGACAATTCCACAGCTCAAATTTAGTGTGGAATTGGTTTAATTGCTTTACCAAAAGAAGACCACAGCGTATCTGCTTTCAAATGATATATAGAGCATTGTAAGTGCAAGTAAACACATTCCTATTAGTCTGTGTTGTGGAATGATTGCCTGTGGAGATCAGCATCTTGGCACTGCAGATATACTGTAAGAAGAGCTTTAGTATCGCTCGAGTTGCAGATTTGTAGTTTGCAGACGAGCGCAGAGGGGGACGAAAAGCACCAGAGTTACGACTTCTCCTGATGCGCTCGCCCTCGCTGTGGAAGTCATTTATAATTCTGGATTAAGTCAGGTAGATAGCGAGGTCAACTGCAGCTGCCTTGAGCACAAAAGGCAACATCATTTCCTTCTAAAGCTATTAGATTTTAAAATAGCAACAGCGTTTTTTATCTCTCCATTGATTGCTTTTTATGATTACTGCAATGGCAATACGTCTAACTTTCTTGCCTCCTTTCTCACACTTCATCTCATACTTCATTATTATCTGTCCTCCCCCCTTCCCTCTCCATCTCTTGTTTATCTCCAACCAAACATCGCCATCATTCCTTTTAGAGTGCAGGTAGAGTTCTATGTGAATGAAAACACTTTCAAGGAACGCCTGAAGCTGTTCTTCATCAAAAACCAAAGATCCAGTGAGTTTGGGGTGGCTCTAATTGTGGCTTTTCTTGTTCTGTGAGGTGGTAGTTTTTTTTTTTTTTTTTTGCTTTCACGTGGAGTGCTGTTGACCCCTGTGAGTGGCTCTGTGGAGCTGGTGCTGGGTAATTGGTTGGTCTTGTTTATGTTTCTGGTCGTTTGATGTGCTGTCCTCTAGTTGTCATGTCCTGTCCATAAGCACTGGGCTTTGTGTGTCTGCTGTTTGTGGAGCTTTTTGTAATGCTTATTTGGTGACGGCCTTGCGCTCTTGTGTGCAGGTTTGAGAGTGCGACTCTTCAACTTCTTTCTGAAGGTTCTGAGCTGCTTGCTGTACATTGTACGAGTCCTGCTGGATGACCCTCGGGAGGAAAGAGATTGGTGAGGCTAATGGGACTCAACGGGAAAGCTGTTTTAGTTATTCAGCTTCTTACACTCTGTCACTGGGGTAGTAGCTTTACAAAAAGTCCAGCGGTGCATGCTTGTACTTGTTAGGTCAAAAAGATGACCTGATAGGTACAAACTTGTACTTTTAAAAAAGTGCAACCTCGTTGACAGGTATTATACCTTTATTTCTGAGAGTGTGAGGTATGACATTATTTTTCAAAGGTTTCATATACAGGACCTGTTTACACCTGGTCACTTCATGTGTTTTCTCTGATCACATAGCTCTATTTCATTTATGTTTGGCCACATAAATGTTTCTCTGCTAAACAGATACATAGAAATACAATCTGCAAAATCTCCACGCTATACATAAAAATAACTTGGTTTCTTTAACTAAAGTGTCAAATATACTCACTTACTCCCGGGGCCAGTTGAAATAAGTTGATATTTAGCCGCACCAACTCATGCAGGCACAGGACATCAACATGACATTATATTGACGTTGTACCCCAACCTTGTGGAGACGTTGGATTTTGTCTTCAGACTTGTGGGGAAAACCAGAGCACCCGGAGGAAATCCATGCAAACACGAGGAGAACATGCAAACTCCACATAAAAATGCCAACTGAACCCAGCTGGGGCTCAAACCAGCGACTTTCCTGCTGTGAGGCGACAGTGCTAACCACTGTGCCACCATGCCACCTAAAGTGCAAATACACCACAATTTATTGAATTATTAGAACTTTTTACAGCAACATAAGCTATATATCATTTTCAGCATACAAATCATTTCATATGTAAGCCACAGGAGGCTACTTCACTTCTGTTGCAGTAAAACATCAGCACAAAATGCACAAGGCTGTACGATTAATACCATTACAGGCTAAATAAACATTATTTTTGTCGTACATATAAATGCAATTCGTCATTCAAAAAATGTAAAGGGTTTACCTTCATTTGTGCATAGCCTACTCTTCCAAAAACAAAACATTAATAAGATTAAATTGAACAAAACCAAACAAACATACCAAATTCCCCCAGACCTGTATTGCTGTGACTTGTTGCATATAAATGTATGGAAAGTTAAATTTATATATGTGGCTTCAACAACCAGATGCATTTAGACCTGTCCAGTTTCACGTGGAAGGTGTCCCAGAGCACCTCCTGAAGTGGTTTATGAGATTGGATTTATATCCAGATGCATTTTAGAGGGCATAACACCAGCCCTTTTCACTATCAGCTAACCAATCAAAAAAGAAACACGTGAAGTGTCCAGTTGTAAATAGTCTCATTCACTATAGTGTTAACAAAACCATTCCACTTCCCACAGATTCTTAAAAAAGACTAAATAAAAATATGTATTATGTATGCCAGGCCAGTAGGTGGGGATTTTACTTCATAAAGAAACACTTGCACTAATCGAATTGTAGCCTACTATTTTTGTTGTCAATAACTTGTGCAATGCTAAAGACTGACTATGTAATATGGTATCACTTTCCAAAAACCTTCTTGAAAGCTAGTACTTTGGAGTTTTCAGAAGTTTGCATTTTCAGGCCCCGAATAACCAAAATTCTCAAAAAGTTTCATTTTAACCTTAAATATATACAAATGTATCCCCATACTCCACATGTTTTAAACCCCTAAAAGTTTCAAATCTCTTGAGTGTGAGTAAATGCTGAGGAACATCTCTTCAATGTCCTTCAAAATGCTTTGAATATCAAACGTTGCAGTTGTGGATGACATATAAAGCATGGGAAGCAGGAGAAATAAATGACTTGTGAGAATTCCTTCCAACATAAATATCTAAAAATAAAATACTGTGACTAATGCCACAAGGTGAAGTCAAAAACATTGTGTTTCTGAAAATTGGAAAAATGGCTTATGACACTAAAATGAGAAGGAATCACACAAGAACAGAACTGGGCTGGCGTCCACAAAATACAAAAGCTGTGGGTGATAACAGAACCTAGTTTTGGTGGGAATTGAACAGAATCTTGTGGCATGAAACTTAAAAATTAGTCCATTAAAAACAAAATTTTGAGGCTAAAATTTTGCTCCAGCGATGTTTCCTTGCAGTTTGAGATAACAAAGGCAGTAGAGTCTGCAGTCTACATTTTTTGAGAATCTTAAATACATAACTGGGCTGCATAATCTGATACATGCCATTTACATGTCATTTTTGTTTGCGTCTGTGGCTTGTTGCACATATATCACCTTACTGATCTAAGCCTTCCTCTAAACTCAACCGACAGTGCTTACTAAAGCGAACGTGAATAGAAAATCACATTGCAGCAGTATAGTTTTACTTTTACCTGTTATGTGTAAGCCTCCTTCACTTGACTCAAAAACCACTTCTCCACATCCCAAGTACAACACTTTACAAGATGAGCTACTAAGCAAACTGACCAAGGCAAAAAAGCCATCCAAAAAGAGATAAGCAGGTGATTGATACAAAACACATTCGATTACAATCGAATTACAATGCGGCTTTTCTTTCATATTTATTTGGCACTGCATAAAGAATCACATGAAAATATTGTTTTTTTATGCTGCCTGTAGTGATTTTTACCTACAAAGTGCAGGAAAACGTACGTCAAATTACGCATTACATTACCTGAGGCACATATTTCCAATGAGTCTGTGTTGCATAAAGCCCAGCTCACACAGTTTTCAGTTTTAGCTGTCAGCTTAGCAAAATGCTAACATCAAGTTAACAAACTGTTTCAATATGAGCTTTCTCAAAGAACAGCAGCTGTTGGCTTGCAAAGTTAAAGTTTAACTTTATGGTCTTTCATAAACTGGGGCTAATCTCTCAGTCTATTTAGAAACCTTAGTTGAGGAAGGCCTTCTAAGAAGCAACAGCACAGTGATAAGGAGGTTGTTGGTGGCTAATTGCTAACTGTCAGTGTGATTTGTATATTTAAGTTAGACTTTATTCACTTGAAGTCACTGATAGAGGCTGTTGTTTCTTCTTGATCACTTTATCCATCTTTAACAGGCTGTTTGCATTTCCATTGGTCATTGCTGCAGTACATCACAGCTGATTTTCATAAAATCACACTTTGCCACATTGCCAAAGGTGGTTGTCACTCGTGTCACTGGAAGTCACAGACTGATTAGAAATGTGAAGACAGAGACAATTATAAACAGACACAGAGTCTGTTACAACTCTAAGTGTCAATGAAAACAAGCAAACAAAAAAAAAAAAAAAGTATTTGCTGCCAAAGTGAAGTATAACTGCATAGCAAGGAGCTTATGCCATAAAAAGCAAGTCAAAAGAAAAAAAATGTCAGAAAGGGAAAAGGATGGTCAAAAGTGAAAACTGTGAATTCTATTTTCAGTTCAGAGAAGAGTTCACGTGATGTCGAAGAGAGAGAAAGTGTTGGTGGATGAGGGGAAAGTGAGATCTGGAGGCACAATCTCAAGAATATTAAAGTGCCTTTGGAAACTCCATTCATAAAAACTGCTATGTGTGTGTGTGTGTGTGTGTGTGTGTGTGTGTGTGTGTGTGTGTGTGTGTGTGTGTGTGTGTGTGTGTGTGTTTGTGTTTCATTTCCCTGTAGTCCTGGCTGTCTCAGACAGAATGCCTCTGCCCACAACAGAAGCCATTTTGACTGGTAAGTGTCCAGGCTTTGACTTTGTAATGAGAAATAAAGATAGTGGCCGAGGGCCAGATACATACAAACATATAGCCTTTCAAAAATAGAACATGTAAAGAAAATCAATACAAAATTGTAATGCATGTCAGTCTCCTCTTTTAAAGATGGATATCTGGATTTTAAATAGAACTACCAGATCTTCTGATATTGCATATGCATCCTAAAGGGATAAAATGAAATATAAGGTCATGCAGACGTGGACTTTTTCTCCAGTAGAACATTAAAGATAATTTTTCTTAAGTAGAAACTACGATCATTGGTGATTCATAATGTGGAAGTTAGTGTCAGTCCTTTACATTGACTGTCAAAAATATCATATATATATATTGCACTGTATATAAATAAATACACTGTATATATAAACATATACAGACAAAACAATATTAATACTCATTTCTCATAAGACATGAGATGCTACACTGTAAAAATATCTGTTAATTCACAGGTTCCGTATTTTGTGTTGTGGTACTTTCTGTTTATTTATGATTATGAATTGCATTATGGGAGTTTTATTCCTTCTCTGTTGGTTTTTGATGTTGGAAGATCAACACTGGAGATTAACAATGTGACTTTTAAAGCCATTTTAGTAGTTTGTCAAAAAAAAAAAAAAAAGAAAATACCAAAGAGAGAATTAGTCTGTAAAATAACAGAAATAAAGGTGTACTAGCAGTTCATTACCAGATTTTTGTATCATATTTTAAAACACAAACACAGTAAATATATCACTTTAAACTTTTAAAATGTAAACAAAATTAACATTTTACCAACAAACTGCAGGAAAACATACTGTATGTTGAAAAACAGTGCATCTGGAAAGTATTTATAGCACTTCACTTTTCACACATTTTTTTATGTTACAGCCTTATTACAAAATGGAATAAATTCTGTTATTTCCTCAAATTTCTACACACAATACCCCATAATGACAATAAGATTTTTTTTTTTTTTTAATTGTTGCAAATTTATTCAAAATAAAAAAACAGAAAAATCACATGTACATAAGTATTCACAGCCTTTGCTCAATACTTTGTTGATGCACCTTTGGCAGCAATTACAGCTTCAATTCTTTTTGAGCCTCAAGCCACAAGCTTGAATTTGGAATTGCGGCCAATACTCAATAATGTTCATGTCTGGTGACTGAGCTGGCTAATCCTGGAGCTTCTTTGCTTTCAGGAACTTTTGATTCCAATAGGTCCTCTGCCGTATTTGAGGAGAGAGATGCAGTTCAACAGATGATTTATCAGAAAAACTACCTTCTGCCACTTTACAAATAATCAACTAAGTCAAGTTATTATTTGTTGCTCTTACAGCTGGTATGAACGACAAGACTTTTGTCAGGTAGTGAAGTGTTCAGTGCTTATTGTTAAGCACTTCTCCTTCTTGGCATATTTTGCCTTTTATTAGCTCATGAAAAAAAGAAACACCCCATAATTAATTAATTAAGGTGACGATTTGATAAGAAATAAACTTCCATAATCTGCAAAAGAAACACGTTTACCGAATACATTACAGCATGCGCATTTAAAAAAATAAAATTAAAAAAAAGTGGTGGGATTTTTTTTTTTAACAGAACATGTAGTAACAAAATTGGGTGCATTAATGGATAAACTAGTGGACGGACCATATTGTAAACATCTGAAATAGGCATGGGCCAGTATAAGACTCTAACGGTATGATAACCTTGGGTAAAAATAACACGGTTTCACAGTATTGTATAATTACTACTCTTAAAATATTTTCTTTTTAAATGTCTGTGTAAAAAACTATTTGTTTTCCACACTGAACATATAGATTTTTTACATTTATATATTTTAAAACAATAAACATGTCAGGCTAAATAATTGAAATAAGTAATTGACTTCTGCTGTCTTAATTAGATTCACAAACACAGATTTCCTTACTTGGAAAGTCATCTCTGGGTATCTTTCTTTTCTTTGGATATAAAGTAGGTCACTGCACTGTTCGGGTCTATAGCATGTTGGAAGTTTGTTTATAAGTGATTTGTTTTTCATGTTACCTGAATCATGTACTGACAAGTAGCTTTTGATGAGGAAGGTACATTTCTACTGTGGATACTGTTTCCCTAAATAAAATTTAAAAAACTCAATAAAATAGTCATTAATAAAAAAAATAATAAAATAAAATAAAAAACGCTATTACAGAAAATGTGACCGTTGTCGTTCCATGCCCAATCTGAAATGTTGTAATTGGCTGCTGTCTCTGTGTTTGTAAAGCACATTTGTTATGCTGAGGCAATAGAAAATCTGACCTTTTGTTTAACTGTTGCTGGAGATGCATTAAACATTCAGTGGCCTGCTTTACTGATCTCATCCAGTGCTTAATCCTAAATAATATTTTTCCAACAACAGTTCAATTAAATTTCACAACTACTTGCCAACAACTCCCTCTTCACTCTCTTCAACTGTTCCATCTTTTAAAGGAAGCACTACGTCTCTCCAGCCAATCCCGTGATATGAACAAAAGTAGGAGAAGAGAAAGAGAGAGAGAGAGAGAGAGAGAGAAAGAGAGAGAGAGAAAATGGGGGAAAAAGACTCACACAGACTTGAGAACGCAACAGATCATGTGGCATACATTTTGTCATTCAAAAAAACATTTACTTCCTCTATTAGACACAAACAGCCCTTCTAGCCCTTTATATATATATATATATATATATATATATATATATATATATATATATATATATAATCTGAAATATGTCTGAGGAGTTACATTTCTTTGCAGTATTTGTTTTTGCGATTCAGATTTTACCACATTCTCACCCTGTTATTAACTTGATTATTTTATTTTTAGGCTATTTTTGACTCGATCGCTGTTGTTGAGGTCAACCCCTCTCTGTAGCCCCTTTCAGGCATACAGACCTTTCCGGAAAATTACCGGCAATTTTCTGGAAACGTCTGTATGTGTGAACAGGCCCTTTTTGAAAATACTGGTAAATTCGTTCTGCCAATTTTCCGGAAAGAGAAGTTGTAACATTACTGTTTTTGTAATGTTTCCGGAATGCTGCTCAATGTCAAGGCAAAAGGAAGATTGCGTTAAAGTGTGCGCTCAGGTCTAAAATGCGCTAACATGAGACGTCTACTCCAGCCAATCAGAACATTTAGACAAATTCACATCCACGCAGTTTATGAAAATAAAAGCCTTTGAATATTTTTCAGACACATTTAGCTGCTAGATGTTAGTCATATGACATTTTTTTGTTCCTTTTTAATGCCAACTGTGTAAAAAATTATCAATAAAATGCTGATAATAAACCGCTGTTTGTTTACCTTGAAGCTGGACGCTTGTGTACATGAAGCAGCTTATGAGCACCAGCACACACACATATAAACATCTGAACCTCTGAAAGTGTTTCCCTATATTATCATAAAAGTTTACAATCTTTATCCATCCACATAATTTGTAATATAGTCAAATGTGTTTGCGTTTCTGCTTTTGGATGTCTCACATAGCAGCTGCATAAATGCTTAAGCTAAATATAGGCTAAAAATAAAACCATCAAAAAAGGCAGACCCCTTCTATGTTTAAAAATACGAGCGCTGCCATTAATAGGTCACTTCTGGTTAATGATGTTAGATATACTTAGTTTTTTGGAATTGATGTGTGTATGGTCTATTCAGGAAAAATTACGGAACATCATTACCTGTGTGAACACCTATTTTATGAATTTAACGGTAAAGTCGTTTTGGAAATTTTTCGAATATTTACCGGTTTTACTGTGTGAAAGGGGCTTGTGTCTACGTACATGGTAAGCTAACTGGACAAACTGGTAACAGAAGTAAAGTTATCCAGACAGAGGTAAGTCATCAGCTGTTCTGTGCAAAAAGGAACAGCATCACACCGCCTAGTATCAATCGTTATAAAGACAAAATGCAGCAACATGTACTTCTGGCTACATAATTCTCTATCTCCAAAAAAGTATATAGGGCTACCTTTTTTAGAATGAGCCTATGTTGCTTACACATCATTCAGTTCACTCAGATGCCGCAATGGTAAAAAAAAAGAACTAAAGATTAATTTCGTATCAGCACAGCACAAAATTGATTTTATGTCCATCTTGATCTATTTTTTCATTACTGAAAAAAACAATATTATAAGGTGTGAACCTGATGAAAAATATGTGGTAAACAGAAGCCTTCTTATTGGTAATCAAATGTTGATTCAATGCTGATCTCCTAACAACAAATCTGACTTTTTAGTAATGTTCAACATTATCATATTACAAATGCTACTCTTTCCATAACATTTATACCCTAATAAAAAGCAAAAAATCAATCAGTTCAATCAGCAAACGCAATCAGATTGTTTCAACCAACTGCAACAAGGGTTGCTTTCAATTTCTGTGAAGTTGCACTTGGAAGCTCTGCCCATAAAATATAATTGGTCTAAAATCACACCCTTTGCAGCTGATCATCTATCACTGTCTGACTGGCTGTGATTCAAATGACTTTTTGTTGAAAATGTGTTGTGTTCTGTCTGTTTTGTCTCATACCAACAGTAAAATTGATTTATTGACTTCGGGATGCTTCACAAGAAGTCTCTGTGACATGTTTAACAAGGCGCTACGGGTTTTTGCTATTTATTAAACATCAAAAATCCTGGCGGTAGTCTGTAAGCATTTAGTGCTGTGTGTCTGACATGATGCTACTGTGCTCATTACTTTAATGCAAACACAACCCACACAGCTTTGATTTCTTCATTCGTAACAGAAATGTTGCTTTCAATCTGTTTATTGCTCAGGCATCATACATGGATTGGGTTTAGGAATTAGTGTGGTGAAAAAAAATGTGTTCAATTATGGGTCGTCTTCTTGATCCGAGCATTTCTAATTTGTAATTTTCCTTTCCTTCGTTATCTCATTTTGTCATAATAATGGCTTCCTGTCATCAGGTCCCTCATTATTTGGGTGAACAGGCCTCTGCCACTCTGGGCTCTTCAGGTCAGAACAAATTCATACTCGCACACACACACACACACACACACACACACACACACACACACACACACACACACACACAAACACACAGTCTGAAAAAAATATGACAATGTGTTTCAACTAAAGCAGAGTAGTTATTATTATTATATAAAACATGCTAGCAATGTTTTCATCCTCCTTAAACATGCTAAAACAAGGTGAAGACGTAGGTTATTATTTGCTGGAAACATTAAAAGATGCAAGAAACATGTTACAGTATGCCAACAACTTGCTAAAACATGCCTGCAATGTGTCAGTAAACTGTCATAATGAAAACATGACAAAGCCATTTGACTATCTTGTTCATAAACAATAGAGTCAGGACTTTTCATCTTGATGACAATGACACTTTCATTTTCACTGAGAAAAACTGTAAAAAGATAGTTGAACGGCTTTGTCATGTTTTCATTATGATAGTTTATTCTTTACATTTTTTTCCAATTCAAAAAGTCAGATTTTGGTGACACTTCCTGAAAATGTTTAAGACAGTACTATATACTATTTGCACAGCCGTTTGAAAACTACAATAAAGTTAGAAATGACTGCTTTTAGTGAGGCATCTGAGTTCAAGACACTGAATATGTCATGCTGGTCTCTAGGGGTGAGGACATTATCTGCACACAATATGAATGCCCGATTAGAAAACTACAAACTATAAAATACTATTATGAAAATACTTAACCAAATAAAAGACAAATTAAAATGTCTAAAGCAAGCTGTAAAAGCAGACTATGCGTTTTTCTCAATAACATCAAAGCCCCTTTATTGGTTTAAATAACAGTTGACAATATATTGCAGAAACTTTGAACATTGTAAAAAATGAGATGTTGTTACAATTTGCATAGTACAGTTTAAAGAATAAAAAATTCTACAAACACATCCAAATTTTTTCGGCTGCTTGCGCCACTTACTTAATGTCAGGTGACTCTTTCTTTCTGCACAGCCTTTAACTACAGCTTGTGCAGCATTGAACACACGCACGTCACTTCATTACTATAGTGGCCATTTTTCGACTGAACTAAATTTATTTTTGATGTCTTCGTCACACTCTTTGGAGGGCTGGAACAAATTGCCTCGGGCCGGGTTTGTCCTGCAGGCCACCAATTGAATATTAGGTAATGACTGGGCACCTAAACTTGCTCCTGAATTGAACCTTAACCGGTGTAGTTACCTTATATGACACTTCTTAGTATCTTGTAAGTACTGCAATGATAAAGTGTAAAAATAAAATGTGTCTGATATATTTTAAACATTTCATTGGCCTTTACAACATTCCCAAATAAGTTTTAATGTGACCTTCTTCTTTTTTACAACAAAATATTGTCAGCTGTAATTAAAATCAGCCTACAGTACATAAAAGCTGCTGTGGTGAAAGGCGCACACACACACACACACACACACACACACACACACACACACACACACACACACACACACACACACACATACACACACACACACACACTTAGACATAGAGAGAAACATATTTGCTATATTGTTGTGTTGACCTCAGTTTGGCAATTTATTCTCAGACATTGTGCTCCTGCTGTTCTTCCTACACAGCCTCTGCTTCTCTCTCTCATCTCTGTCTCTTTTTGTCTCTCTTGTTATCTATTTTCTCCTCTTTCCAGGTGCTTGTTGCATTCATCAGTTTTTCAGAGACCATGTTGCTGGTTTACCTAAGCTACAAGGTGAGTCAAACAACCCATGATGAAATGTGGTTTATCACTAGTGCACTGTAATACATGGGGAGAGTTGAAAGCCTGCTTTAGCTTGTATAGGCTTCCTGTTTGATAAAAATGATTTAGTAAGAACACATGTCTGCTTTTCAGTCACCTTCAAAGGAGAAACTTTTGTTTGCTGATATTTGGTTGGTTGTCTCACACAAGACGCCAAGTGTGTGATCATTTTGTTCTCAAATATTAACATTAATATTGAGATTAATATTAATAGTGAAAACTTGAATCCTCATTTATGATGGTTTCAATTGAAATATATATGTTTGCAATCATAATCTGATCTAAAATATCTGGTTTATTTTCTGGTTCCATGGTGTAGATGTTCAAAAAATCATAACTGACATTAATAATTTGATAAAATCTCACCAAAATGAATGTTCGAGCTAGTCATTAGTGATTAATCAGCTGCTTTCTTGTGTTTTCTTGATGTTCAAATGTGGGTTTTGGCTAAATGCTGGTCCAAACACTTGTATAGGTTTCATCAGATGTTTCCATGTGGTTTCTAGATGACCAACATGATAAACTGTGGTCATAATCCAGTCCAAATTTCAATACATGGTTCATTAGCTGGTGAAGTGTGAAGTCTAGGGGCTCCATTTTGATGGCCCATGCGCAAAAGGCAGGGCGCAAACACTTTCAGGGCATGTCAGAATGCATTTTTGCTAATATAAGGACGGAAAAATCCGCTTTGCGCCATGGCGCATGGTCTAAAAGAGTTGAGTTTATTTTCTTAATGCGTTATAGGTGTGTTTTGAGAATAAACCAATCAGAGTCTCATCTCCCATTCCCTTTAAGAGCCAGTTGCGTCGCGCCATAAGTGCATTTGCTATTTACATGACGTAAAGTAGGTGTAAGTGGAAAAACTGAGCATTTCACTAGCAAGAAAACAGTTAAACAGAGCATCTACCACATGAGAATGAGAGATAAATGACCTAGTTTCACTTTCGCTCTTGTGGATAGGCAAACCTTTACGCACAGACATCAATTAGCCTATAAATAATTAATTTTGTTTGTTAAGCAAAAATATTTGTTTCAAAACCATTTCTAAATTCAGTTCTAATTTCCAGCAAACAAATAAATGAACAACAGTAACGAAGTGTGTTCAAAAACCTGAGTTATATCCAAATACACATGCTGTGCCCCATATGGTCTAAAACCAGCAGGTGGCAAATCTAAGCTTGTTTTTAGAAAAATAAATATAAATATGGATATAATAAATAATACAGCTAATAATAATAATAATATACAAAAGCAAATTACAAATGCAGTTATGAATGAACTGAAAAAAGCCTCCCTCAAGGAAGAAAGCATAAAAGCAGTGGTTTGTCATATTTATATAAGCTAGAAAATGATATGTTTTGTAATGTTTTAATCCTTTATATTTATATCCTATATATATTCTTATTATATCCTACACATATCCTTAATATTACAATTTTTTTCATATGTAAAGATATTTGCGTATTGCTCTACATCTTGTGTGTATTAAGCAGTGTGTAAGCGAGGCGCAACTCTGCGCTGGTCTTTAGACCGGGTTTGTTTTGGTCTATAGAAAAAATCTATTATAGTTTCTCAAAATAGCAACGTGCCAGCAGTGCGCCTCAGAACGCCTTCCTTTTTAGACCAGAACGCCTGTGGGCGCACATATGAGTGCAAATGCATTTGCTATTTAAACAGCGTGGCGCAACGCCTCAAAACCACTCTTGCACCAAGCTGAAACTAGCAAACAACTATTGCATTGCGCCTTGCGCTGGGTGTATGGTAGGGCCCTAGATGTGTAAAGATAGTCAGTTATGGTGACTAGCTGGTCTAAATGGTCCTATGCGGTTTCTAGATGTTCAAAGATACTTATTGTTGATCATAAACGGTTCAAACTGCTAGATGGTTTATAGAGTAGCTTTGAGAAGAAACTAGTTGAAACTGTGGTCTTGTGTGGTTTTAATTTGTTCAATGATAGAAATTTATGGCCATCATCTGGTCCAAATCTGTCTATAGGTTTATCAACATTCACATGGTTCCATGCGATTTCTACAGTAGACTACCAGGATGATCATTTGTTGTCATAAGCTAGTCCAAATTGCTCTAGGTAGTTCATTAGCTAATCGACTGGTTTCTAGATGTGTCAAAATAATCATATATGGTGATTAGTTGGTTCAAAGAGATCTAGATAATTCTGTGTGGTTTCTAGATGTTCAGAGATAGTCAATTATGCTCATAAACTAGTTAATATCTGCTGGTTTCATGTGGTTTCTAATTGTTCAAGGATAGTCATTTATGGCTTTAATCTGGTCAAAATTGGTATAGAGGGTTTATCAGCATGTTTCATGTGCTTTGTTGATGACCTGGATGGCTATTTGTGGCCATAAGTTGATCCAAAGTTGTCAAGATGATTGTGTATGATTTCTAGATGATCAGAGGTGGTTGCTTATGCTCATGAATTGATCAAACTGGTCTGAACAGTTACTCAGCTGGTTCGATGGAGTTTCTAAATGTTCATTTACTGTATTGTCAATTACAGTATGCTCATAAACTTATAGAACTGGTCTAGATGGTTCATCTTCTGGTTCCATGTGGTTTCTAGATGTTCCAATATGGTCATTTATTATGCTCATTATCTGATCAAAGTGTTCACTATGGTTCATCTGCTGGTTTAATGTGATTTTAAGTTTTTCAAGAATAGTCATTTATGGTCATAATGTAAAACAAATATTTTTAGATGGTTTATAAGTATGTTCCATGTGGTTTCTAGATGACCAAGATTGTCAGTTGTGGTAGTAAGCTGGTCCAAATTGTTATGCATTGCTCATTAGCTGGTGAAGTGTTGTTTTTAAAGGGGATTAGCTGGTACAAAGCAATCTAGATGGTTCTAAGTGGCTTCTAGATGTGCAGGGATAATTTTTTATTGTAACTCTTCAAAATGACCTACATGACTTGTCATCAGGTTCCATGTGGCTTCTGGATATTCAGAAATGGTCATTTATGCTCATAATTTGTTCCAACTGGTTGCCATGATTTGTCTATTTGTTTCATGTGCTTTCAAGTTGTTTAAGAATAGTAATTTATGACCATAATATGGTCCAAATCGGTCCATATGGTTCATCAGCATGTTGTTTATAGATGAACAGATCGGCCGTGGTCAAAAGTTATTCCAACTTGGTTCATTGGCTGGTTGATCGTAGTTTATAGATGTGTCTAAATTGTCACTTACTGTGTTTACATGGTCCAACATAATCTAAATGATTCTGTGTGGTTTCTAGATGGTCAGAGGTGGTCATTTATTCTCATAAACTCTCAAAATGGACAGCATTTTATCCATAATTTGGTCCAAATTGGTGTAAATGGATTATCAGCTTGTTCTCTGTTTGTTTCTAGATTAATTGGATGGCCATTTAGGCTATTTGTTGTTTCAAATTGCTCTATATCGTTCATTAGCTGGTCCAAATAGACCAAGATTATTATATGTGTTTTCTAGATGTTCAAGTATAATCATTTATGGTCGTCACATGGTTCCATGTTGCTTATGTTGAATACCCATTTATGATCATAATCTTGTCCAAACACTCATCAACATTCATCAACATGTTCCATGCATGAGGTTTCTAGATGACCAGTTTGGCCATTTGGTCAAAAGTTGGTCCAAATTACTCCAGATGGTTTATTAGTGAAGTGTGGTTTCTAGATGTGACAAGATGGTCATATACAGTGATTAGCTGGTCAAAAGTGGTCTAGATGGTTCCGTGGGGTTTCTAGATGACCCGGATGGCCACTTGTGCTTGTAAATTGGTCCAAATTTCTAGATGGTACATTAGCTGGTCCAAACTAATCTATATGGTTCTGTGTGGTTTCTAGATGCCCAGAGATGGTCATTAATGCTCATAGACTTATCAAACTGGTTTACATGGTTACTCAGCAGATTCTATGTAGTTTCTTGATAGAAAGTGTTCAAGGGTGTTCATTGAATGTCATAAGCTTGTTCAAACTGCTGGTTTCATGGTAAATGCCCAAGTACTGTAATAAATGACCATAATCTAGCCCAAATACTGTATAGATCAGGGGTCACCAAGCTTGTTACTGTAGGGCAATAGTCCTGCAGATTTTAGCTCAACCCTAATCAAACACACCGAAACAAGCTAATCATGGTCTTACTAGGTATACCTAAAACACCCAGGCAGGTGTGTTGAGGCAAGTTCAAGCTAAACTCTGCAGGGACACTGGCCCTGCAGGACCGACATTGGTGACCCCTGGTCTAGATGGTTCATCAGCATATGTTCCGTGTGATTTCTAGCTCTCCAAAGATAGTAATTTACTGTAGTTAGCTGTACTGAAATGGTTTATCATCTTGTCTAAGTTGGTTAGGTCTTGTAGATGATTTTAGACTAGCTAAAAGTGAGCAAGTGTTCCAAAAAAAAAACAAACATAGCCACCTTCTGCTGTTTTGATTTGTTTTTGTTTTATTTTTTCCAGCAGCAGTAGCAAGTGAGGAAGAGTTTGCTGGTGACAATCAATGGTTTTGAAAGGACTAAGTGATGAGATAAAGCACAAGACATGATTGCCCGCAGACGCTAACATACAAAGAGATCTATTAAAATCTCCTACACTTTATTTGATCTTTATGTAATGAGTATAACTTGAATTAACACACCTCCTTTACTCTTCATTCTGCATCGATTTCCTTTGAAACCAACAAGGCCTCTTCACCCACGCAGAGCACATTTGGGCAAGACATAAACATACAGCCAACATATAAAACATGGCAGAAGTTTAACACCTTAATAGAGCCACAGGTTTAACTGCATTCAATAAATGAAATATGTTTCTGAGGGGGCGTGAAGGGTGACCTTTAACCCTGCAGTTTATCAATGGTTCAGACGCAATCAAGGATCGTTTTATCCTTTATTCTGAGAGGTGACACCGACAATAGTGTTTCTTGACCCTCACGCGAGTGTCCTTGTTTCCAGGGCAACGTTTGGGAACAAGTCTTGCGCATTCCCTTCATTCTGGAGATGATCAGTGCCGTCCCTTTTGTGATCACTGTGAGTAAAATAAATCAATGGCATTTTTAAGAATGGAAATAATGTTTATTATTATTAGTAGTAGTAGTAGTGGTAGTAGAAGTAGTAGTGGTAGTAGTATTTAATAACATACTAGTTTTAATAAATAATTTTATTTTACTTTCAATTAGATAAAAAATATTGTTCAAAATGATTGTTTGTGACATTATTGTTATCGTTCTTAGTATTCTGATTCTTCTTCTTATTATTAATAAGCAGTTTGTAAACTATTATTACAATAAATGTGGACAGATTTATAGATTTTTGTAAACAAAATCAAAATTATTGCTACAATTGAATTGAACTGCATGTTATGTTGTATGTTTGCTGGGTGTAGTCAGTGACAACAAAGTCATATAAGTGGGTTTTATCTTGCCTTGAGAAAAAAAAAAAAAAAAAAAAAAACTAAAATATGTTTTGTGTGTATGTGAAAGATTCATCAGTGGCACATTGGTGCTTCCAAATAGCATAACTAGAAACTGCTAGAAACCACACTGTCACAAAACCCTTTGAATTGAAAAAAAGTATGGCTTTTTTCTCTCTTTCTTTCCAATCAGGTGATTTTGCCCTCCCTCAGAAACTTGTTCATTCCTGTTTTCCTGAACTGCTGGCTGGCCAAACACGCTCTTGAGAACATGATTGTAAGCAATGGAGCCTATCTTCTGCCCTTTCTTCCAGAGCAATTGTGTCAGTGTGTATCCACTTTCATCACAAAGCTCTCATTTTCTCCTCCATCTGGATCTCACTTCCTCCTTGTGTCGTATTTTCCTGATTGCATCTGTCCTCTGCTGCTGGCAGCTTGCTGGTTATCACATTTGCCAGACTGTTTGATGATTGTTTTGGGGTTTTATCATAAGTACGAGCACAGTGGTACTGTGTTATTAAACATCTCGCTGTCTCTCATCTCTGGCTTCTTTTATCTTTTTGTTTCTTCTTCATGTTGTTTTCAGAATGACCTGCACAGAGCGATTCAGCGCACACATTCAGCCATGTTCAACCAGGTGCTCATCCTCATCAGCACCCTCCTCTGCCTCATCTTCACCTGGTGAGAGAAAAACACAACACATTTCTCTTCAGTAAATCAGACTTCTGTTAAAATACAGGGTTCTCTGTCCGTCTGTTTGTCTGATGTTTGGTTTGTTTTGTGCTTCTGTCTTTCTTTCTATCTTCTTTTAAAGATAAAATTATTAGCATTTATGTAAACGAATAATTTTTTTTTTGGTCCCACTTTATATTAAGTGTCCTTAACTACTATGTACTTACATAAAAAATAAATACAATGTACTTACTATGTTTATAATGTATTTGCGAACACGTGGTGCTTTTGAGTTGGGATAGAGGTTGGGTTTGACAGGTTTGTCCACTTTATATTAAGTCGCCTTAACTAATATTTACTTACACAGGAATTAATAGTTTACAATGTACTTATTGTGTAAATACATTTCAATTACATCTGTAATCAACTTTTGTAATTACATTTGTATATACACTGTTGACTGTTGACATCCCTTAACACCTTAACCCACCCATAAACCTAAGGGATGGTCAACAGTGTTTTTACAAATGTAATTACAAAAGTTGATTACAGATGTAATTGCATACATGTATTTAATCAAGCATAAGTACACAGAAAATACATGTAATTATACAATAAGTACATTGTAACAAACTATTTTTTTTAATAATTCCTAAGTGATGACTACAGAACAAAACACTGTTGTCCAATGACTTGCCTAATAAACCTAATTGACTAGTTAACATAATTAACCTTGTTAAGCCTTTAAATTGCACTTCAAGCTGAATACATGTAAAATATTCAACATATGCTCATTCTGAAAGCGTAGCCCTATATACATTTCTGGAGGTTGTGAATTATGTAGACATTGAAGTATGTATGGCTGCATTTCGCAAACAAATGATACAGAGTGGTATAATGCCATTCCTTTTTGCACTTACCAGCTGACTGCTTACCTCCATGTGGAGGTTTGGTTTTTCGCGGTTAAGTTTGTCCAGTGAACTCACCATGTACCTTGACAGACTTGAGAAACAGAGAAGAGTTGATCACAATGGGTCAATTGGTGTTTTAGAAAACACTTTCGGTTGGGTTTAGGGAAGGAGTAGGGTGGGTCAGTTGATCTGTCGGTCAGTCAGTCATACCAACAGTCAGTCACTCAGTCAACAGTGGTCTCTGGCAGATTTACATAGAACAGCGGATGCAACTGGCAGTCAAGTGAGAAATTTGCAATCTTAATTTGCGGACACAGTGGCGGACACAATGGACACAGGTTCACACTTTGGTTGTATTTGGCATAAAAAAATAAATAAATAAATAAAAAAAAAATAAAACATTTTGTTTTACAAAACATCTGATTATATAAACCAGGATTGTCCAAACCTTTTCTTATAAAGGGCTGAAAATCAAACTTGATTGAGGGTGGTGGGCCAAAACTAAATATACAAAACTGTATTACATTAAAGTTGCTATCATAACTTTCTAATTTAGTAATATATAAAAAATACTTTAACTGTATTAATAATTACGTCTTTTTTCATTTTATACTGTAGTTTTAACATAATAAAACATTAACAATCATATTTATAACACAATGAGTTCAATGCTTTTTATTTACAAAAATTACCACTTTTCACTTTATAGTTAAATACATCTGTCCTGTTGTTTGAGCAATGTGTTTTAGCAATCTTACTTCAAGTGTGTGTGTGTGTGTGTGTGTGTGTGTGTGTGTGTGTGTGTGTGTGTGTGTGTATGTATGTATATATATATATATATATATATATATATATATATATATATATATATATATATATATATATATATATATATATATATATATATATATATATGAATTTATTTGCCTATTTTAATTGCATTAGGTCAGGTGTGTGTTTTTTACCACCAATATACAGCAACATGTCACTTGTTGCACTGTTGACTCTAATGTCAATATGCTGTATTGCCTGTGCAGTTGTTTTTACGGTATTTTTTGCTGCCCAAAGGTGTCCTTAGAGCCCTATATTTCGGCTCTCATATTTCATCTAAAATATATAAAAGACAAATGGTCTCAGGGGTTTGGATCAACGCGAGGTAGAGTAATTAATAACAGAACTATTTGCTGTATATAAAAACTTTTTTATGTGATTTTCCAGAATCTGTAGAAGTTTAGTTTGCACCTTGGATGGTAACATACCTGCTGTTTGTCATAGCTTATTTATTAATATAATGTACCATTACTTTACAGTGCTCAGGATATTTAGGTACACTCCTCACAAATATATCTTGTAAATTCATAGTTTTAATAGGAAGCTATGCAATATATGTGTGCATATACAATAGATTAGTCAGTACTGAAGCCAAATCTGGAGCTCATCTAACAAAATAACTTACGATAATGGTCTATAAACTAGCACACCCGAATGTATATGTTATAGAAAAATATTAAATACTTATTTAAAAAAAGAGGAAAAACCAAGAGAACCTGAAGATATTTTATAATTTAGCTGAAATTTTGTAGGTTTTAATTTTTGAATATTTTTAATTTTAATATTTAGCTTGAATTTAATTTAATTATCTTTCAATTTCTCAATATGTTTGGTGACTAAATATTCTTTTAATAAATATATCTGTTTAATAAATCTGTTTTGTTTAAATGCACCAGAATGCATTGCCTATATTCACAGAGAAAGGGAGTGTACTCAGTAATGCTGAGCACTGTTTGTGTGAATTAAATATATTAGCAATCATAAAGCATACATTCCTAAGTTAAAATTTAGGCTACAAATCTGTAGAAAACAAAACAGTAAATTGTAATCATGCTGTTCAGTTTATTTGCTTGGTTACAAAAAGAGTATTAGAGATACAGTTCAGCTCATATTGGAGGTCCAAATATATTCTCAATAGTTATTTTGCATATTTGCATCTTGTTTGTGTTTTTCATTCAATTTACATTGGGATGGATTATCGTACATACTCTGTTTCCATATTAATATAGTTGTACAAAATTCATATAATTTGTTAGTTAATCAAGTAATATTAATGTTTAGCATTTAGAGCTCTTGCAGAATTAATGCGAACAATAATGAAACTAGAGGTAAGGGTCTTAATAAAAAGTCATCTTGAGATGCATTTAAATACCAGGAGGAAACAGGTTCAAAAATATGTTTTAGTGGGGTTAAAATATCAAATGCTACAAAATATAAAAGTTATATGACTTTTTTAAGTAGGAAATTGGAAAATAAGAGGTTTGATGGTGCAGCGTTTGTGCCTCTGGTCAGCTGTTGACAGGATGGTATTCCCAAAGTGCTGATTAATTAAACACCATGTTGTGTATGGGTTCTCTTGTTCTGAGGTAAATAGGAAGGAGGTGCTGAATGTGCAGGGTAGCGGTACGTTTGTAAACCAGAAGAGAGAGAAATGAATGACCTTTTCACCACTGACAGCTGCATGTTGACTCAAACGGCCTTTCAACACTGAGCAAACACACACCATACACACACACACACTGAGACTGCTAACACACAACACACAAACAGGGTTCGCATCTAGCTGTCTTGTGCATGGTTCACCACACAGTTATTGTGTCTTGGCTCGCATTTATCACACTTTGCTCCAAACCATCCGGTGATGATATAAACCCCCTGGCTTTCCAAACACATGCAAATCCTTGTAAACATGTCCACCTAAAAAAGCCTTTCAAGAAATTGTTTTTTTCAGAGATGTTCTTTAATTACTTTCATGTCCAAACCCATATGCTGATCACTTTCCTCTATGAAACACAAGCAGACATACTGTATAATGTTACACATGTTTGTACCCAAATAATTGTTAATTAAAACACAATTTATTACAAGAAGAAGCAACATAATGTAGCATAAAGCAACCCCCCAAATGGTATACAGTATGTTAAAATGTCTAAACATAATGTGATGTATAATTAAAGTATGAGAAATGCATTCACTGTTCGAATTCCGAAAAAAAAACAAAAAAAACGCTAATTTGTCTGCATACATGGCTGTCAATTGGTCCATTGCTCCAATTCTTTGCCATTATTGACTGCTTGTCTAACCCAGAGATCTGCACTCACAGAACCTGACACAACCAGGACAACATTTGATAAGTGAATACGATACTTGTCAACATTGGGTCGTAAAAATACATGATACCACATCCTCCCACTCCTAAAGGAAATAAAATCCTTAAACCTACCCAGAAGAGCTACCAAAATATGACCCAGATTCCTTAATCTGTTAATTCTGAGCTGTTTAATTGTATATAAGCCTAGTTGTAACACTTACAAATATGTTGAGTAAATTAGCATGAAATGACAATACATAGCAAACATTTAAAAAATAAAAATATTGGCTTTCACCTATATCGATGATCTTTACAGAAATTAAATCAAGTTATAAATTCTCGTTCACTTTTTATTCCGTGTATTTAAATATTGATTAAAGTTACTATAGTTATATATTTTCATCCACTTATTTGTTTGATAACAGAGGTGTCACTTTAACACTGCACAGATCTATAATAAAAACATTTGATCACTTTCATAACTGTTTGTGCTCATTTAAGACAAAATAATTTGTGTTAAAAAAAATAATAATAAAAAACATGCCAGGATGGACATTTTTACACGTTATTAAGTGTAGTTGTCTGTTTAAAAACACCCAACTCCATGGAGCAGGACAGGAATAAACCCCAAAAGGAAGCATTGCTGACAAACTGACACAGGACAGCAGACATGAGGTGGTTATAAGGAGGACAAATCAAGCACTAAACAAGTGAACAGAATAAACTAATAATGAAGAACAAGATGGGTGGGAGTAGACAATGGACTGAAGAGCACATGGCACGAATAGAAGTCTTTACATTGATTGCATGGCCAGCCTGATCACCCGCCGGTGACCTACTCAAACCTGCAGTTCTCCACGATGGTCGTTCAGTGTCCTCCAGCTTCTGGCACCTAGACTGCAGCTCTGCAGAGGAGATTTGGCTAGAGGAAAAAGGATCATCCCCAACTAAGCCTGCTTTTCTCAAGGGTTGTTTTATTCCTTCACTTTTATCAATTGGTGAAGTTTGTTCCTTGCCACTGTCGCCACTGGCTTGCTTATTTTGGGACTTGTGAAGCTGCACATTGATGCATTTGCTCTTCAGTGTTTGGACTTCCAGCAGTGAAATCTAAACCACACTGAACTGAACTGAACTAAACTGAACCTTAACTCTGAAAACTGTACTGACACTGATAACTTCTATGTTAAGCTGCTTTGACACAATCTACATTGCAAAAGCGCTGTTCTGCTGATTCGACTCATTCTGAAAATGTAGTCCAGAGGATGTTTCTGGAGATAGCAAATTATGTAGTCGGAGGTACGAATAGCTGCATTTTTAATTTTTAAGCGAACACTACGGGCAGTATGACGCTGTTCCTTTTGCTGCTTACCGGCTGACCGCTTACCTCCGTATGGAGAGCTTTCCAGCCACAAGTAGTTTGTCCAGCTAGCTCGTCATGTAGGTCAGCAGACTTGAGGCACAGAGAGGAGTTGACGATGACCGAGGTTCGAGTCCGGCGAAAAGTGGTTCCAGAAATCAGTTAAGACAAAAACAGAATCCAAAAAATAAAAATAAAAATGAACTAGTGAATAACAGGTTAAGAATGTGGTAAAATCCAAAAATGTGGTAAAAATTAGACGAGGGCTTTTCTTTTTCTGGACGGCTTTTGTAAATCATCGGTTGGGTTTAGGGAAGTAAGCAAGTGGGCAGATCAATCGGTAAAATTTGTTAGGTTTAGGGAAGGAAGAGGGTGAGTCAGTCAATTGCCCGTTCGCCTAGTCAATCATTCAGTCAATCGACAACGGCCTCTAGTGGGTTTAGGCGAAAACAGCGCGGGCAGCACTCTCGAGAGACATTTGAGATGCGAAAAAGCGTATACAGCAGCCTCTCGTGGATTCGCAAAAAGAAAAACTTCAAAAATACATACCTCCCTGGACGGGTCTCCAGAAATGTCCACGGGACTACTTTTTCAGAACGAGCCTGGGTTGAAAATAACATAACATGATACAGGTTGTAACAATTTAAACTGTGTGAACTGAACTATGCCTTTAAATCCATATGTGAGCTGTTCTTGCACCCTTTTCTCTCTGTTTTTCAGTATTTGTGGTATTCAGCACTTGGAACGAGCCGGGAACAACCTGACACTCTTTGACTCTCTGTATTTCTGTGTTGTCACTTTCTCTACGGTGGGCTTTGGGGACGTCACACCTCAGATCTGGCCGTCCCAGTTGCTGGTGGTCATCATGATCTGTGTGGCTCTTATAGTTCTGCCAATACAGGTAAAAAAGACACATACTTTGACCATTACATTTCTATTTCTGTATATAAACACACATAATACATTGGTATGTTTTATTGAATGTTTCAAGAGACAAATCCACTAGAGGGCACTGTCTAATTTTTTGCAAATCTGAAATAGGTTACGTAAAATGCATTTTGCTATGCGTGTCAGTTCACATGCTTTTTTGTGTGTCCACTAAAAGGCAGGGATTGTCTTAAAAATCATATAGACCAGCTTGAGCCTTCACTAAACCCAACCGTTATTATTTTTTGGCTTTTGTCTCTTTTGTGGAACCCTGCTTCACTGGACTCCTTAATCTGAACACTCTGCATCACAAGTACAACACTGTACAATTGAACTGCCAAGCAAACTGACTACATCACAAATGTTGTTCATATCCATTATAGACACTGACTATGTTTACATGGACATCAATAATCAAATTATTTACCTTAATCTAAATGATTAGGGTGTTTACATGTGTTGTTTTTGAATATTATTTTTCATGATCCCGTTTTACATGTTATAGCACATAATTTGATTAATGTCATTGCGCCACCATGCTATCCACATTTCCTCCAGAATTTCAGGTGTTTCATTTTTTTATTTTGTCAATTTTAACTGCAGTTTGGCAGTTTCACTTCATTCAGGAACATTTCATGCATGCCCCCCTTGACAAACAAGATATTGGATGCGAGCTGGAAGAGTGTTGTTTTAATGGAATTTGATATCATACGCTGTATTATCAGCTTATGAAGCTCTTTATAGGTATACTAAAAAACTCAAGGCAGGTGTGTTGAACCGGACGTCCGCATTTTACGATGCAGGTGTCTGTGGTTCTTTACTCACTCATTAGGAGCAGAGAATAGTGTTAAACAGCCGTGTGTGTATGTAATACCCTGTAAGAAAATTCGGTGAAAATCCTTCATCAGGGGTGCCCAAACTCGGTCCAGGAGGGCCTGTGTCCTGCATAGTTTAACTACAACTTCTTTCAACACACCTGCCTTAAGTTTTCTAGTATACTTATAAAGAGCTTCATACGCTGGTTTAGGTAAGTTTAATTGGGGTTGGAACTAAAATATGCAGATATACAAAATATGTTTATATGGTAGACTCTAAATCAGAGTATTGTCTCAATCATAGTACAATCGGATCATTGGTGTTCATGTAAAAGTACTCATTGTTAAGTTGTTTTGTGGTATATATTTGATGTTACACAAAAAATTCCACACAAATAATAACTTATTTGTTGATACTATGACCCCGTTACTATACCTAGTGTTTTCACCGTCATACATCCCATGGCATTAATTTTACTTTTGGCCCGTTTCTACTAACCATAGTAGCAAAGAATTCTGGCCCAGATTTGGCAAAAAGCTGGCACAGCAGGCATTCATCCGGCACTGGCATACAGCATGTGGGCCAAACATGGCCCGGATTTGGCAGAGGTGGCACCGTTTTAAAGGCGGCACACAAGATTTGGGCCAGATGAAAAACATAGTATTTGGCCCAGATTTAAAAATTTGATAAGTGGGCTATCACACATATATGACCCACATTTAAAATACACTAAAATCATTTTTGAGTAAAGAAAAAAAATTCTACCAATCAGGTCACTTTGAGAAAAAAGCATGCCCATAGTGTGCCTAAAGCGCATCACTCCATGGGTTTATCAATTTCATTGCAATCGTGACACACCAACCTATCTGGCCCAGTTCAGGCCCAGTTATGAGTTATTAACTTGGCTGAGACTTGGCCCAGATATGGTCTGTGTTTGGGTCTTGTCTGGAAGCCAGATTTGGTCCAGTCATGTACCGTAATTCACTGCGGCATGTGGGCCAAGCAAAACCTGATTGTGTGGGCCAGAGATGGGCCAGAGAAATTTTGCTATGTGGGAAGTGGTACAGTACAGTACAGTATGGTTTGGCAAAGGTCACCTTTATTAGGCTTGTGTTTTCACTGTCAAAGAGGACCAATGGTAATTTTGGTGGGCATAGTGTTTGGCAGAAAGTTGCAGTCAATGTCCTTCTCGCTTGAAGTTCATATATCGTATTAAAAGCACTTCTTACTAAACAAATGCTTTATATGCATTTTTATATCCATATTTTACACAAATATTACAATTATTATATTTAAACTGTTTTAAATTTATATATATATATATATATATATATATATATATATATATTTTATTTATTTATTTATTTATTATTTTTTTTTTTTTCGTCCTTTTTCGTCCTTCATAGTCCACTATTTAGAGCAAGGTAGGGCCCCAAAATTACTCTGCTTAGGGCCTCCAAATGTACAGGCCATGTTATGAACAACTTTAAAGTACAAGGTAGCTCTTCTTTCATGTAAGGTTTTACTTTCGACTCTCTGACTTTATGCAAATAATATGTGGCTGCAATGACAAAAGCACTGAGTCGAATCACTTTTGTGCTGAAGGCCCGGTGAGATGCGACACAGCTGGTGATTTTCACAGTCTGACACACAAGCGCACCCACGTGTGCACGAACGTACACAGAGAGGAGCTTCCATGTCCACAGCGCTTTAATGAAACACTTTTCACATCCCACTTCAACATATACCAGGTATTACTGACACACACTCACCCAAACAATCTCACACACATACTGACTCACAAGCGGCAGCCTCCCGCAGGGCCGAGGAGAGAATGAGATGAGAGCACGCTTGTCTTTCATGTGTGATGTGAGGGCTTCCCTGCCTGCGTCCTCTTTGGGAAGCTGGTATGTTTCCTTCACACAGGAAATGGCAGTGACTCCAGCGAGGCCCTCCTACTCTTTTCATCCACAAATACCAGCTGACATTTACTGCTGCCCCCCACACACAGCTGGGGTGTGAGAGTTACGGTCGAGCCGTGTTTGTCTCTGCCTGACAGGGGAAATCTCCAGTATGGCTTATGGCCCGCTGAGAGTCATCCCGCCGCACCAACTGACAGCAGCCACAGTATCCCATCACTCCATGTGCACACATCGCAATGAGAATTTCACTGATGCTGCAATTAAACAGTGCCAAATCTCAATCCCCAATTACCCTTTGCCTGAACGCTACTGAATAGCAGACATTACCACCAAGTCCCTCGAATCTTAGCAGAGATCTCTTTATGCACTGGGGGCAGAGCATTCTTTTCCAGACTTTAATGTCTGCTATCAAACATGCATCTGAGTGCTTTTATTCAGGATCAGGATTCATAAAAGGACTTTACTGCCAATATCACCCACACAAAACACAACAAACGTATCTGCTCAAACAATACATGCACAGTGCACAAGGCAACTAGTATCTGACAATCTGGCCTTCTCTTCTGCTTGTGGTCATCATGATTTGGCTTGTGTACTGTATTTCTACTTTGGCCATTACATATATAGACTCTTTTGGCTTGTTAAATCATTACTGCTGTAGGTTGCAACAAGTATATGTCTTGTATATGTAAGTGAACCACAAGCTATGTTTCCATCCAACGATGCAAATGAAGATGAATTTGAAAGTGGAGAACTCAAAAACTTAACAAACCATCTTTTCCTAATTAACAGGCACCAAAAAGAAAAATGGGATTTGCTGTGGAAGGAGAAGGCACTTTGGACCTTTTTTTTCTTATATAATAAATTACTTGTGCATCTGAAGATGAAACACATTGCATGTGTGGTGGCTTTTAAAGGTGTGAGACACTCAAGACAGCTCTGGGAGGTAACAATATAGTGCCACTTTAGACTTTTGCTGAGGGATTTTAGAATGACCAAAGCAACATTTCAGATGTTGAAAATGTGGTCTGTCTGCTGGTTTGTCCGTTAATGTCATCCCCTCAAAATGTATTCGCATCTTGGCATTTTAAGCATTTTTATGCAGTATTTACATAAAATAGGTGGATGGAAGCATAGTTACTGACTCATTCATTCAGTCAACTGTAGTGAGTGGGTGAAAAGTAACTTAAAACTTGATAGTAAAGTCCATATTTCTAGTACAGTGGTTCTCAAACATTTTTCACCAAGTACCACCACAGGAAACAAATAGTCTCTCCATGTACCACCATAATGACTAGTATTGAAGTACAAAGGTATAGTAGGCTTAATTAAGCAGCTACAGCTCTACACAGTTCAAAAATGAGGTAGATTAACTACTAATATTAAAAATATGTACTGTCATTCATTCATTCATTCATTTTCTTTTCGGCTTAGTCCCTTTATTAATCTGGGGTCGCCACAGCAGAATGAAGCGCCAACTTATCCAGCACATGTTTTACACAACAGATGCCCTTCCAGCTGCAACCCATCTCTGGGAAACATCCATTCACACTCATACACTACTGACAATTTAGCCCACCCAATTCACCTGTACCGCATGTCTTTGAACTGTGGGGAAAACCAGAGCACCTGCAGGAAACCCACGCAAACGCAGGGAGAACATGCAAACTCCACCCAGAAATGCCAACTGAACCAGCCGAGGCTCGAACCAGCGACCTATTTACTATGAGACGACAGCACTACTTACTGCACCACTGTGTTGCCCGTCAGATACTTTAAACATTATAAATAGTTTGAACATTAACTGTGCTTGCAGATAAAACAAAACAAAATAAAACAAAACAATACAACCTCACCATTTAAATTAAAATGTGTTTTTAAAGTATTAATGTATTAATCTGGTTTTCGCCCCCTCCATAGTACTAAAACATCCCTCCTCTGACTTTGGCCTTCTTGCTTTCCCTCGTTACCGCCTCTCTTCAAAGGGGGGCAGATAATTTAGTGTCATTACACCCAAACTCTGGAAACTCTCTACCACGGTCACTCTGTTCTTTTAATAATTTCTCAGAATTTAAATCTTTACTTAAAACTCACTTGTTTTTTGAATACTACACTTCTGCTCTGACAAACTGACCACTTTATTTGATCAACCTGTACTCTGCTTATTTGTCTCTTAGGTCTTGTTTTGTATTTCCATATTTTTTTTATAGTTGACTTCCTGTATGTTTGTGTACCTAATGTTGCCTCTACTTATGTCTGTTATGTCAATCTCTTTTTGTTACATTCTTTGTAAAGTGTCCGTGAGCTCTGGAAAGACGCTATATAGATAAAAAAATATTAATATTATTATTATTATTATTATTATTATTATTATTATTATTATTATTACAGTAGCCTATTCATCAAAACCTGAAAATGTTGCTAGAACCTGATGAATATAGGCTTTATGTATGTATATATATATATATATATATATATATATATATATATATATATATATATATATATATATATATATATTTTTTTTTTTTTTTTTTATACATTTAGAAATATAAACTTCATGTACATATGACATGTGTATGTCTTAGAAATCTAAACATTAACTTTTAATTTTATGATTTGGAATGTCATATTTAAATTAGAAATTAGATATGCTGCACGTCATTTACAATGGGCCTAAGCATGTCAGAAAAGCTAGTGATTAAATGCATAAATACACTGCTTGACCAATTCATACACGCAGTATTTCCGCGATATGGTGTGAATAATATCACATCTTAAGTGAATCGTGAAGTTTGCGTTAACTGGCGCACACCGACCACTGTTTTTAAACAGACTCATGTACAGTTCAAAGTTCCTCTGTCTGTGCACATGGAAACTAACTTTAATTATATTCCACCTCTAAGCTTCAAGCATGGCAAAGTTGCATGTGTATATGTTCTGTGTCTCGCGCCATTTGACGCATCCAAATTAATTAGCTTAAATCTGAGGTAACAAACTAAACCGAAAGCCACACTGCTTTACAAAACAAATAACTTTATATATAGAAAACACCTATTATTTTACACAACTATGAGCACATGTTTTAACACATTTGTAATAATTATTTTACCAATGATGCAGCATGGGTATTAAATTTTTGAGTTTGCAATAAATGAAATGCCAACACAACAGCACCGGTCTGCAGAATGGCTTCTCTAGCGCATGTGTATCCACTCTGCAAGTGCAGAGCACCACTTTTGGCTTTGCGCCAAGCAGATTGATTATTAACATCTGATGATGCGATGCACTAAAGTGAACCTTTTAAGCACACAGGTCATAAGTCTTATGTTGTTTATAGTAAAAGAGTTTCAAAGTCTGTCATTACAATATTATTGGTATCTTATTTAAATCAGATATTCATTGTTTTGTTCTCTTTCAAACTACCAGTCTTTATTTTATAATTAACCACTATAGAGACACACATTGAAGTCAGTAGTAGATTCCAGAAAAAGTGTCAGTGGTAAGTTATTTTTTTCAATTGGTCAGAACAGAAAGCCAGAACTGTTGCCCTGGAAATCACATCACAAACATAATCTAAAGGAATGTTGTGTTGAATTAATACTAAAAGATTGTGTAAGGGCAAAGCTGTAAATGTGCGTACACAGTAAAAAATTCAGCTGTATGAAACACTGCATACGCGGAATCCCACGCATATTCTCTTTGTAGATGCGAATTAACATGAAACTAAGTGCACGTGCACGAGTGCAAAACCCCTCCTTGCCTCCTCCCCCATATAAATATGGTAATGACTCCTAACCTAAAAGCAATTACAAATGCAAGCAAGGAGAGAAACTTCACAGAATGCAAATTGGAGGTGCTCCTATCGGAGGTAGACTAGATGAAAACTGTGCTATTTGCAAGTTTGTCTTTTGGAATTAATAACAACAACAACAACAAAAAATAGAGGGGGAGAATTTAGCTAATGCAGTTAACGCAGTGGGGTCTAAACATTGCACTGTGAAAGAATTAGAAAAGAAATGGTCTGATATAAAGGTGCAGTTTAAGAGGAGAACAGCTGTGCACTGTCAAAGTGTGGACCGTTGAGGCTGGGGAACAAGGGATGCTAAACTAACACCTTTTCAGGAGAGAGTTGCCTTAATTGTAGGTGACACTTTACTGTCTGGAGTAGTATCTGTGTTTGTGGCAGACACAGATGTATTAGAGGAACACCTTTTTAGGGCGGTATAGCAGCACCCCTCCACACTCAAAGCAGCACCACTGGCACTTTAACTGCCCAATTGCCCGCTCAGCACGCAACAGCCACGACTTTAATAGATAACCGCACTCTCCTGATATGCAGTTAAATAATTATATTTATTTAAAAAAATTGGAATAAAAATACTTAGCTGGAATAATACCTTTGAATACATCACTCACCAAGAAGCCACCCATCGCGCACCCTGCCGCCTTGAAGCCTTCAGATTCAACCATTGACAATGTCCTCTAATAAGGCCAACACTGCCAATGCTATATATATATATATATATATATATATATATATATATATATATATATATATATATATATATATATATATATTTAACCCATTAACCCATTTTATCAATTATAAATTAATATCAATGTTTTTCCACATATGGTAGTGTGATACTTTGTAGCGTGCAATCTAACATAATTGCTTCTAGGAGTCGCCAATTGCTTCTAGGAGTCGAAATAAAACAAACACACACAATAAATACACGTACACCAGAAATAAGGTTGGCCCAGACCAACGCACATTCTCACGTTAAGTTCATCGTTAGTAAATCCAAACGTGAGCGTGAAACCTGGCGTACACAAAGTTTTTGTGTGTACACAGCATTAATACATGAGGCCCCAGGACTGTAACTTCCAGACACTCCCAAGAGTTGGAGTGGAGGCAGAAAAGGGGGAGATTATAGTGGGCCAGGTCCATGTAATAGCAGGGGGCCTGGAGCAGAGTTGACCCTGGGACAAGGTGCAGTAGAGGTCCTGAAGCATGGAGCAGTGGCTTTGGCTCAGAACGCATAGGCAGGTCAGACAGCTCCAGTTGGTGACAAATATTTGGCTCAGGAGGCACCAGCAAGTCAGACGGCCCAGGTTGGTCAGGAAAATCAGATAAGTCACACAGCTCTTGGCACTGGAAGGTCACATGGCTCTGGTGGCATTGGGACATCACACAACTCTAACGGCACAGGGAGATCACACGGTTATTGTAGCAATATGTAGGGGTCAGGTGGCAGCTCTGGCTATTCGTGGGACTCCTGGGGCTCTGGCCATTCTGGGAATTCAGGTGGATCTGGGGCCAGCTCTGGTGATTCTGTAATGATCTAGCGTGGGGTGCAGAAAATATAATAGGTGGAGGTTCTAAATACAGCAGAGCAGGAATTTATTTTAACTGTCAAAAAAGTTAGTTTAAGACTGTAGTTTGATACTCATATGACCCTATATCCTTTCTGTGCATGATATTCTTGTCTGTGTGCTCAGAAAATGGAATAATAAGAGTTTAAACTAACACAACTTTTAAAATGCATGCAGATATTTTGTTTGTTGTTCCCAGTGTAACCAAGATAAAATGTTTTGCACTTAAAGAGACAACAACATCTCTGTGCTTCAAAAAAAAAGAAAAAAAAAAGAATATTTAGAGCATGCTATGATAACACATTCTAGGGACAACTTATGTTACATGTTTTTAAAAGGGCATAATTGGACCATTTCAGCTATAAAATATCTGAATCTTAGCTAAGAATCCCTTTATGTACTCAATACTAAAAGCAAAGCAGACATTTACACCCACTTTCAAACAAACATGCGTCTGAAGGGCTTTTATAGAGGAACATATAAAAGAACCTCACTGCCAATATCACCCACACAATCTACAACAACAGCTATTATGTATCTACACAAACAATTCAATATCTTCACAAACACTCAGTTCAGTAAGTTTTAAGAGATGGCCTTCTAAGCAAACACCGTCTACAAAGTTATTGCCTGATAGGTCAGTAAGTACACAAAGCTAGGGTCAAACATGGAAATACTAGAATCAGAGAACGCTTGTTAATGCTAGAGGTTAACAAGACTCAGCAACATGTGAGGGGATGTGAGATTTAGCAACAAGTGAGGGGACGTAACCAGTGCATATAGTCTATGCCACAGGTGTCAAATCCAGTTCCTGGAGGGCCACGGCTCTGCACAGCTTAATTAAACACATTAAGCTGATTAATTAAACACACCTGATCAAACTAATTGACTCCTTCAGGCTTGTTTGAAACCTACTGGTAATCTTGAAGCAGGGTTGGAACTAAACTGTGCAGAGCCGCGGACCTCCAGGAGCTGGATTTGACACCTGTGGTCAATGTAATCAGTTTTTGATCAACTTCCAGGTGTGTTTGTGTAATCATCAGTGATCTGGAAACTGGTGTGTGTGTAAAGTGCATGGTGGGATTGTAGTTCGTTAAATTGGCAGCTATCTGCACAGGCTAGATCACTGGTGATCGTCACGGTTAGACACCTGTGGTCTAATGACACCTATGTAACTGCAATGATTTTGAAGGCTCTTCGCGGAATCATTGATGACAATAACGAACCGTTCATTTTACCAATCCACAGAAGTATCCAATCTCCAAGACTAGTCATATCTACACACATATAATGCATCTTTATATATTTCTTCAATCTGACTGTTCAGCATAAACAAGAATAGAAACTATTCAGTATTAAATTGTACACAAAACATAATTTCACTGATCACGACTACTGATAACACAGCTAAAGCCTCTTTGTAAAACTGTCTTAATGAAGTCTTTTCCCTTGTAACATCCCTTAGTTTGAGCAGTTGGCTTTCCTATGGATGGAGCGACAGAAGTCTGGAGGAAACTACAGCCGTTACCGTGCTCAGACTGAGAAGCATGTAGTGTTATGTGTCAGCTGTCTCAAGATAGACCTGCTCATGGACTTCCTCAACGAGTTCTTTGCTCACCCCAGACTGCAGGTAGGTTGATGTAAATGGGTATATGTTCTTGCTAATTTGATCCCAGGCTGCATGCTGTGTGCTACTTAATCCTCTTCAGAAGTGCTAAAGCTAAGGCTCTTGTCCTAGGATTAACTGAACATCTATTTAATTTAACCAAGATATTTATGTGTGAATGATCTGGGTTTTATTGTCTTGCGGTGTCTGTCTGATCTCATTTTTTATGCTAACTGGAGCTCATCATGTGCAGGATTACTATGTGGTCATCTTGTGTCCTGCTGAGATGGACGTCCAGGTGCGGAGGGTTCTTCATATCCCGCTGTGGGCACAGAGGGTCATTTACCTGCAGGGGTCTGCACTCAAAGATCAGGACCTAATGAGGGCAAAGTAAGACCCGCTGAGTACACACTAATTACCTGAAGTGGTGAACAACTGTGCTTACTTGCAGGTTATGAATATGGTCTTCAAATCTTGATGAGTTCTTCAGATGTCAAAAGTACATACGTTTTTAAAAATATATTTAAAGACAATTTAATACTGTTGAAAAAGACTAACTTAAGAATACTTAAGAGTACCATAAAACCACATTTGATGACTGTGAAATGTTAAGTATTTTTGTTATGTTTTAATTAAGTATACTTACTCTGTGTGTGTGTTTTTTAAATACATGACATACAAATATCTATAGAATTTACTCTAGAGTTTTTTTAGTTTATCATATCACAATATCAAAATTACATTAAACCACATTTCAAAAACAAAATAATTATGAAATTACATAATGATGTGCTTAAATCCTTAAATTTGTAAGAAAAAGTGTAATTTTCTGGCATTTTTGTTCTAAAATTGTGATTTATATAGTAATTATATCCTTATTAGTGTTTTATTATTTATGATATTTCTAAATACATATTTAGAATAATTCAGCCCCCTGAATTATTAGCTCCCCTGTTTATTATTTTTTTCCCAATTTCTATTTAACGGAGAGAAGATTTTTCAACACATTTCTAGACATAATATTTTTAATAATTCATTTCTAATAAAGGATTTATTTGATCTTTACAATGATACCAGTAAACAATAGTTTACTAGATATTTTTTCAAGACACTTCTATACAGCTTAAAATGACATTTAAAGACTTAACTAGATAAATTAGGTTAACTGGGCAGGTTAGGTTAATTAGGCAAGTTATTGTATAACAATGGTTTGTTCTGTAGACTATCTATATATATATATATATATATATATATATAGCATAAAGGGGCTAATGCATTTGACCTTAAAATGGTGTTTGAAAAATTTGAAACTGATTTTATTCTAGCTGAAATAAAACAAATAAGACTTTCTGCAGAAGAAAAAAAATCCTTATATATGTATATATGTAATGCCAATAAATAAAGAATCACAGTAAATGAGAATTCAACAATGTTTAGGTAATATTTGCATTTTTAATACTAATAATAGTATTTGTAATAATATTTGCTGATATTATGCTGAAAACTTAATCATTTAATTAGTTCAAAATGATGTCCATGAAATGTAGTCCTTATCAAGACAATATGTTAATTATTTTATCTATTTATCACATTACATTATCAAAGCTTAAAAGGTGAAAGGAAACATCATAAGTTAACATAAGTTATCAGTTAGACAGTTTGACAGCTTAATAACTAGGGATATGCGAATCTTTTTTTTTTTTTTTTTTTTTTTTTGAGAGAGTCCTTTGATTTTGAGTATAAACCACTATCAATACCATATCCGATACTTCTATAATACATGAAAAAAAGTTTAAAGAGTGAGAAACGATCCAGGATGTTTCTGCATTTAATTCACCTTATTTTAACAACTTTTAACAAACAGAGCAGGTAGCTTGAACACCAAGTAATAAAAAACATTTCCAATTAATAGTATAGTGCTTCACTTTTGGACTTTAGTGCAACAGCAAATTAAAAAAAATTATAATACAAAAGCAAATAGCAAAAAGTTTACAAATTTCACAGTTTGCTATGACAATTTTGTTGTCATCAACTTTGTAATACTTCCAGCCCTCAGTCATAAGAGATATCTAATTTCAAAGACTGCATCATCCGAAGGTTGCATTCGAAGTGCACTGTGTCATTGTGGTATGACGAAGGCAGTCAAATTTTTTTAAAAATTAGAAGGCTTCTTCAAATGCAGCCCCAAAATGCATTTGATTTGCTAGGGAATAAAGGACACAACCACATCCTTCGCGGCCTCAACGCCCCAAGATTCATTACGTGCTAATAACGGCTGGACATTTTTGAAAGGAAACTCCAGATTAAATGTATGACTTAGGTTTTATTTTACTTCGATATCAAAACATGTTAAAAAACAAAAAGAGTATAGACTCTGGAAGAAAAAAACATTACCAGACATACTGTGAAAATTTCCTTGCTCTGTTAAGCATCATTAAAAAGAAAAAAAATCTAAGGGGGCTATATATGTATATATATGTATATATATATATATATATATATATGATTGGGAGGCAACGTCTGATTCCGATTGATACTGAAACTGTGATCGGGACCTATTTTTGTTCACGTGATCAGATCTAGACATCTCTAACAATAATCCATTAATGAATGCTAACTTGACACCTTGCAATTATAAGGTTCTATCTGCATTCTGAATGATTTTGAGAAACTGAGCTTCAAAGTTTTTGCATTCCATATAGCAAACAGTAAGTGTGTAACAATTATTATTTTTTTTTAATAAAAAGTAAAAAAAAAAAAAAACATCGCAATATGTGAATAACCTAATTTTGACAAAAACGTCAGATAGAACCTTTTAATTCTAAGGTGACGAACTCTCAATTCAAAAATGATTTAACTGTGGGTCAAGTTAAAGTTATTTTCTGTGGTAATCAATATGCCAAAAAAAAAAAAAGACGTGTCTGGATCTTTAACATTCTCTGTTTCTCTCAACTGTTCAGTCTTCTCTTTCTCCCTCTCATTTTCCCCTTTTATGGAACCTGGACGTGTTTCTCTGCTCTCTTTGTCCTGATGCTGATTGGCTGCAGAATGGATGATGCCGAAGCCTGTTTCATCCTGAGCAACCGGTTTGAAGTGGACCGATTTGCTGCTGTACGTTCCCCTCTAACTTCATTTTCTCACCTTTTTTTCCATTCCTGCTTTTCTACCCTCTAGAAAGCTGCCACTTCTAACATCCCCTCTATTACCCTATTTCTCTTTTACTTTTTGATATTTTCCCCACTGATGCCACATTTTGACAGTTCAACATAAAATGATTTAGTCTCAAGGCAATTGGAAGTGAGATTTAGTTGGTAGGGTAATGTAGGCTAAAGGCAGCTGTCTCTCACAAAGCCTGTCAAGAACACATCAGGGTCATATTTCGAATCAAAATCAAAAGAAAAAAAAAATGTAATAATGTAACTGTAATGAAAAACTTGTCATAGCTGTTCTTAACACAAACAACGCCAGACAAAGAACAGAAACAAACTTAGGGATTAAATACACTGGCAATAACAATTAATGTGCAATTAAAGTGAATATAGAATATATAACCATAAAAACAGATGAGTGATGGGACAAAGAAAACAAAGAAAAGATGTTAAATATAACTGAATATGACTATTACAATACTCCTCATCCAAAAAGGCCAGAATTAGTTGAGGATGGAAATTTTGGTGGTGGACAAGGAGTCATAAACATTAAAGATATAAACAAAACCTTGGAAAGCTTGAAGGATAGGAATGACCTGGATTGACTAGGACGCAGCATTCATGCAGGCACATAGCCCTTGATGAGGATGATGCTGATGTGCACCTCTCAAAAAATGGAATCAGGAATCTGATCGACAATTGTGGAACTTGGGAAAGCAGAGACCATTGTGTCAGTGAGGAACTTGGATTCTGGTTGGCACCATTGATCTTGAGGAACAAGATGTAGCTGTTCACTTATGGGACCAAAGGGGAGACCAGGGCAAGAGTAGTTCCAGAAAGAAGGTGAAACCAGAAGAATGGCAGATCTTACACTCTCAGAAATAAAGATATAGAAGCTGTCACTTCTCAGTAGGTACATATATTTGTACTTCTTATATGTGTTTATGGTACCTTGAACAGGTTCAAAAGTAGAGTAGGTAAAATGTACATGTACCTGCCCCCAGTGACAGTTTTTGTACCTTTATTTCTAAGAGTGTTGCAGAGCTAAGGGATATGACCAACTAAAGAGTGAGAATCATGTGGTGATGACTTGATGACCTTTGACCTAGGCAGAGCAAGAGGGATTAAGGAGACCTTAAGTGCCATTGGGATGACCTCCAATTGTGGAGTTAATGGACCTAGAGCTGAGGTGGAGTCCAGGGTTCTAACGCCAGAGGTGGAGCTAGGGAACGTCAAACCTAGGTGAAGATAAGGATAAAAACACCTGAAGTTGAAGAGCAGCCAAGAAATGAGATGGACACGACATGGAAAGAAATATGGAACAAATGGTTATGAAGTAGATTGGGAACTGGCAGATCCAGCCCTGACTGGAGATCTTGAGATATGTCATAATCCAACCATTTTTTATTATTATTTTTGCAGACTAGGATAAGCACACACTCAGTGGCAAGAGTATAAGCATGGCCCCCCTTCTTGGTCACAAAACAATAGAACAGCCTTAAGGATAGATGATAGAGTGTGCACCTGGTCACACATAATTATTGTGCACAATGATCATCAACATTCAGTCCTTCCTGACTAAACAAAGGGCAGTCACGTGACTTTTGACCAGGGGCCTTATGTACGAAGACTTGCGTTAAAATCATACATTATCAAAATCAAAACATCAATCAAAACATTATGTACGCACAAAACTGTAAATGTGCATTCGCAGTGAAAAATTCAGGTGTATGAAAAACTGCGTATGCCGAATCACACGCATATTCTCTTTGTATATCCAAATGAACTTGAAACTGAGTGCAACATGCACGAGCACAAAACCCCTCCTTGCCTCCTCCCCTGTATGAATATGCTAATGACTCTACTTTGGCAAAACCAACCGAAGAAGCAATGACAAAAGCAAGCAAAAAGAGAAACTTTTAACAGAATGTGAATAGGAGGTGCGCTTATCGAAGGTAAACTGGAGAATAGTCGTGTTATATGCACGTTTGTTCTCTCCAGAATTATTAACAAAAGAAAAAAAAACAGAATGGGAGAGTTTAGCTGACGCGGTAACGCAGCGGGGTCTGGTTGGGCACCTCGTTGGAATGAGCTTATAGAGTGATAGTTGAGCAGACTTCAGCAGTGTTATTGGCGTAGCTCATAAAGCGCATGGCATCATTTTTTGACACTGTCATTCCTGAGCCCAGTTCGAATCTAGCGTCTGATGAACATATTTTTCTTTTTTCCCCATTGCATGTCAGATTTTGCCTACTCTTCTTCACAAGGAAGACAAGTAGGAATCATTAATAAGTGTGTGTATTATGTTAAGTGCATTTGAGCATCACATATTATTTGCACATTTATTGAATGGAAATGTTTCTGATTCACGTGTGCATATTCGTCTTCAGATGGCACCTTTATAGCAATGTGCGTGCGGTCGATGGTTCCAATTACATTGGGAAAACCAGCGATCACTGCAAATTACACTTTAATGTTTGGCTGGTCAACTGTATGGTATGGAAACGTTATATACCTGCTAGACATGCAGATGATCCCGTCTCATACAGCTGCCATTGCACGGCTTAAATATACTTTGTAGTGTGCAATTTAACATAATTGCCTCTAGGAGTCGCCAATGGAAATAAAACAAACACACACAAGAAATAAATGTACGCCACACATGAAGTTGCCGTAGACCAACGCACATTCTCACATTCATTTTATCGTTAGTAAATCTAAACGTGAGCATGAAACCTGCCGTATACAAAGTTTCTGTCCATAAGCAGCGTTGATACATGAGGCCCCAGGTGTTTGTTTGCTGAGGTAAAAGTTTTTGCAATAAGTACAAAAGGAAAACCATGAGGTGATGACATTTACAAGCGAGTGTCAGAAGCATAGTAGCACGATTTAGCATGATTTTTTTTCATTTAGAACCATCTAATGTCAGGAAGGATATGTGCACATTAGTGGAAATTGCTTGGGCATGAATTTCAAAACATTTTGGCGATAAACACAAGCTATAAATTGTATTTGGGATTGGCTCTGCCATATAATCGTTGGTGGGTTTGACTAAATAATTTAATTTAATATTTATTAATTTAGCTGTTGCTTTTTTTTTCGACTTATGATTGAGGATAAAAGAAGCATTTCAAATCATCTGAGAGCACTAATGTATAAACTCTATGACATTCATTCATTCATTTTCATTTCGACTTAGTCCCTTTATTAATCTGGGGTCGCCCAGAATCAGAATATCCTTGAGCTCAGGGCTCCCTTCCATTTAAAGGGCGAGAGGGGAGTTTGAGTCCGGGTAGATCTAGATATGGCTGACTAAAAGTTGTCTATGATGCCATTTTTGATTATTCAGTTTACTTATATTGCATGTCTTTTGAAGGTGGGAGAAAACTGAGGGGAACCTAGAAAAACCCACGCTAACATGAGGAAAACATGCTAACTCTGCACAGAAACTGGCCCAGTACCAGTGGCATTCTTGCTGTGAGGCGACAGTGCTAAGCACTGGGCCGCCATGCTGCCCTATCAGGAGAAGAGGGAGGAGTAGGGGTGGATTCATCAGGACAAAGATGACTTCGAGTGAAAAACTCAGAATTCTTAGAAAATCGTCTGATTGGCGTGATATGAGTAGCTGGTGCGGGACCAGATGTGATCAATCATGAGCATGTGATCCTCTCTAAATTTGTTTATGAATAAATGGCACATAAAGAGGAGAAATTGTGTCTCTTACAGGTGGTTTGTCAAGCCTGCTCACCTGTGTGGAGCACACTAAGAATTGCACAATGTTTCCCATAAAGTATAGAGTGCTTATAAGAAGGTGTCTGGTGCATATCGGAAGGAAAAGAGTGTGTAACCTTATTTGTCAAGCACACTTACCTGCGGGAAGCCCATTAAAAATTGGACAGTATGGAGGATAGCTGGAGGATAACTGAGCTCTGGGTCCAAAGTGAGATTGAAGCTTGCGTTGCCCTCCCCTGCTGGTAAAAAAATAAAGTGATGGGGAACCACACTGTGCAAGGACCAAATCTTCATAGTAAAGCAAAACATCCTAAACAACCTTCCAAAGACAACTATCATGGTATTCAGTCAGATTTATGCAACTTTCCATCTTATGTTTGTGTAAATCAGACGTAGACTATTTATTATGTGGTCTTTGAGGAAGCAGAGATGTTGTATTGCTGGTCTGGTATTTAGTCACATCCAGGTAAGTCACTGCTGAAAAAAAACATCCCTGTTTTAACAGTAGACTGGACAGATGAAACAGGTTAGGATGTGGTTGACTTGACTACTAAAACATGTCAAAATACTTTATAATACTGGCTGTTGTATAATAAGTGGCATTTTAGATTTGTCCTAAGTAATAACAACTAGTCAATGTTTTGTAATAATATTTTGAATTTTATGGAAGTTTTAAAGCTTGTAATTGATGCTGAGGCTGAACATGTTGGTTACTTAATCAAGTGCTGAATCTGCAACTTGAATAGACTATATAGATTTAGATTACAGTGCACTACAACAATATTAATATTTCAATAATATATAAAATAAAATGTCTTTTATGAGATTTCATGTGACGAAACATTTTGTATGCCAGATGAAAATAAATATGCAAGAGCTAAATTATTACAAAGAATGTTATTCATTTAAAGGTTTTATAGTGCAGCCATTTTTAACCTTATAAATCAATATCCAAATCATTCAGAACAGAATGAAATCATTTCATATTAATGCAGCAACTGCATTTAATAAATGAAAACCTAATCACTTCGACATGAGAACAGAATACAGTGTAATCAAAATGTTAATGCCACGATTTCAGTATTCATAAGGGTTCATTCGGAAATCTGTAAGCTGCTTTATTTTAAAGAGCCCCTATTATACATTAAAAGCGTCAAATTTTGGTTTTAAGGGTCTCCAGCAAAAGGCTGATATGCATGCAAGATCCAAAAACACTTTCCTTGCCTCAAA